CGCAATGACGTCGACATGGGTGCTTCACTACGACTGGACGATCTAGATGAGAATACTCTACTGAGTTTGCCGATCCCTAGGGGTATCTGGAACGCGACAGAAGGCTTCACTCTAAATGGACTCCATAAACAGGAGCCAAAGTTCTCGGACACTCTTCCGAAACCGATGGAAGAAATCTTGCGCGAAAAGCCAACTTGCTTGGAGCCGATTCTGGAGTTACAATCTGTGATGAAAGTAGCTCAAGCAAAGAGTGAAGAGGCCAAGAACATTCGGCAAGGCCAGCGATATCGAAACGATCACGGGAGGACGTTGGGTGCAACAGGGATTCGTAAGGCTCGCCTGGACCAGCCGCTCACCAATAAATCCAGAAAACGAGAGACTAAACATCGAGAAATCGTCTCGGCGAGGAAGATCAGCAAGACCTCAATTCAGAACATTTTTCCCACCGCCAATAAACAACAACAGCCAAGAACGATCATTTGACCAGTTCACAACCCGTGGTGATTGGCATTCTTCGAGGGAACCAAGCATCGAGTCTCTTAACAGATTGACTCAAACAGCACAGCCTGAAAGTCATTGACGTTCCAGAAATCGGCAATTGCCTTTCTAGTGCTCTCTTCGCGGCAGTAAGCGGATTCTCGGGCTCTGGCAAGATAGAATATTCTGATGGCGAGGAAAAGGAAGCTCAAGTCTGGAAGGAACGCATTCTAGCGGTCTGTCAAGAATATGTGATGCTGGAAGGTGAGGGAGGAGTCATGCGTTTGCCCAACCTTCGACAGAGACTGAAGGAGCTCTATCTCTCGGAAGAGTGGGTTATGTCGGAAGATCCTACTCAAATCATGAATCGACTGATCCGGCATTATGCTGAATCGAGAGATATTCAAGTTCGTGACTTGGTTCCATACGTATTCTGGGGGCGAGCAGCCGAGCTGCATGCTGCAGTAGGTCTTCTACGAGAACCAATTTACGTCATTGAAGCCGACGACACAGGACATATTCAGGA